AAACCGACAGTGATATCAGATCCATGGACAGTAAAAGCCCGTAGGTCCAATGATAGACTGTAGAGAGAAGTTTTAAGAAAACCATAACACTCACATAACACCATATTGGTGACTTTTCACCTACATTGATCTGTCCAGAGGTGCCGAGTCTTGAACACCACCCATTGTGTTAATCCAGGTTGTCAGCAGGTTACCTGTTAGCAGCAGAGGACTTCCGGTCGGTTATATCAACATTACAAAATTTCTTCCTGAAAATTCTCTGAGAAAAGACTGATGAGAATGAGAGGACCCGGTGACCAAACCCCAAAACCACTCATAGTTCTGAATTGTTTTGTTCGATGTATGTTAGCAATGCTACTAGCCTTTTTGACTTATTAACTAGTAGTTCAAACGAAAAGATCATAAAGATGGGTGCATTCAACAAACAAGATGGTCAGACCAAATCAATTTGTTCAAATCTTAAAAGCTGCTTAGGTTGACCGAAATAAGGCACATGGTTCCTCACCTAGTTCCTTTGCTGAGATGTTAAAACTAAGAGAGCACCCCGCAGGTTGGAACTAGGGTGCAAAGGCAGAAAAGGGAAATTACGAATTACAAACACGAAAGCACTAAAGTTGGTCATCCGGTGCTGCGATATACAGTAAACCCTGTACAGTTTTTCCACTCTTGACCCACCACTTTCTAAAAGTAGCGGGGTTACGAAATGTTTGGCGGGTTTCCCACTCTGCCAGCCAGCAGAAATTCATAGAATGTTGTGAATTAGGCACGCATGACAGTACGCACACGTGATGTATACAGTACTGTAATGCGTTTCTGACTATTAAACATCAAAACCGTTTTGGTCTCCCTATATGGGACCGATGTTTTTGAATCGGAAGCGCGCAACTGCAGCTGTACTAACGTGGTCCCTGCGCATGCAGTTGCCCAAATTCCTGTCTAACAAACTCTTGTTTCAGGCTGGATAACTGCTGCATATGAGTTCAAGCCTTATCCTTGTCCACAAGGAAGCACAGCTCCCAATGGTCTCATGACATTAGGTTCATTTATACTACGCGAAGGAAGTCCGCTCGCTAGTTCTTAGGAAATAAGATTAGTGGGAACCAAGTTGGTCTTATGAAAACACCATCTAGGCGAGCATGTTTTCTCATTCGCCAGCCAACGGTTCGCCAAGTGCAATCGAGCTAGTATACGTTAGTTTCCCATTCGCTCGGCTCTTACAATAGTCAGTCCCTTGTCATACATACGTGCCTATCGGCCGGCTTGCGTGCATACAGTTGAGGGCAGGCGGCGCCATGGGGGCCTGGCGTCCATAGTCGACGCGATCAATATCGGCAGAGCCGCGCGTTTCCACCGCGCGTTCCAGCACATCGCGGTCAGTGTGTGTCCTGCCCGTCGCGGCGTCTCTCCCTACTTCGAACTCTTTCCTTTTCTCATACAACAATGCATTGGGTTTCTTCAGTCGTGCAACTGTTGCTACAGAAGGGTTGTAGGCATTCCTGTGTGTGTGTTTTGTCCGCTTCTTACGATTCACCTGTGAAGAGTCATCATTCGTTTTTATCTCAATAGCAAGTTTGACGTTTCATACTCAACGCCCACGCAACGCTTAGTATGATCCATGGGTTTATGTAATCTTAGTAGAGTTTAGTGCCTCTGGGACGTGTCTTTAGTTGGTCCAATTTTGAATTTCACTTGTATTCGTCTGTCCTATATCGTATGAATTATTTAAACTGCGGACTGATGTTTTCTGTAGAAAACTCCTTGATCGATATAATTTGCCACGATTTCAAGTCCTTGTTTCTTCAATTTTTTATACCATTGATGAGTGGACCCTTCTACGACACGCTGAATAAGTTCCCTGTAAGGAAAGCTCCTATACTTCCAAGAGAATCTTGTATCTTCGTCTGCGGTGGACGGGATAATTTATGGCTAATTCTGGATAATATCGAAGTGTTATGGTGGATGTTTTGAAAGCTAAAATCAATTCAGAGTAAGATCGATGTTTTATACTTCGTTCCCGGTGCGCCAAGTGTGGCCTCAGAGGTGACAGTGAATATTTGTTTACAATGAGTTACAAAAGTGTACACAAATATTTCATTGTATTTGTAATGCATTTAGGAATGTGTTTTATTAAATCCAATTGTCCAGTAAGTCAAATGAATAGTACTTCAAGCTACTTGTCGGAAATGATATATTTGATGGAATTGGTGAACGCAAAAATAGAATATCCTTCTCTATCATCAAAATAACAACCTTAGTTTTCGCTGCCGTTCGTCGTTAAAATATTTCTTTATTCCTCTTCAATCATTTATCGAGTTATTAATGTCTGATATGTTTCAGAATGGACTATTCGGCAAAATGCCGGCTGATCAGGCTCATTGAAGAAGAAGAGCCTATATGGAACACTGGAAGTGACGACTACTCTCGACTTGATAAGAAAAATGCAAGCTGGAATAGAGTTCATAAGGAAATGCTCGAGTGTGGTTTTAATGGAGGAAGTAAGTCAGGTGCTGTCAAACGTATTTCAGCCAACTTATACCGAAAACAAGTTTCAGTGCTCGAGTTAAAAACAACATGGAAGAATCTCAGGGATCAGTGGCGAAAGAATACGCTGAACAAAATGGCGGGGAACAGTTCAAAACAGTGGACATTTGAAAAACATCTTCTTTTTCTGGCTACAGCACAAACTGAAGTGTGAGTACCTCCGTTCTTCAGGCAATCTCTATTACATTAAAGTACGGAATTTTGTGTCGAAAACCATGCACGGTTTTACGGCAAACTTTTGAGTGAATGCCTTTAGCTAATGGAACTGTGTTCTGCCAAGTACCTGTCGTAAAGTTCGAGTTGTGGGCGTGTTTTATATAGGATCTATTCTAAGAGTGACTAGAGTTTCACTACAAATTTACCAATAACGCCTATTTCTATCGTTGCTGTTGCCACTTTATTTTTCAGTCAGGTGCACTCAGATGGAGAATTCTATTGTAGCCGCCCTTGCTTCGGGCGATAAACTTTGAGACCTGACTTTGAACGAGTAAAAGGGATGGACAGGAGTCGTTTAGAAGAGATGAGGGGAGTAGACGTGATGATAACGTTAGCCTGGGCCACCTGTTGAAACTGCGACGACAATCAAAAACAATTGGCGGAACAGGGTTTCCACCTAGCTCTGCGTATCACCGCTCTTCTAAGTAAACACACTCGTTTGTCTTTTCACTGTTGTAGTAGAGTCTAACTTCGCTTTCGGTATAATACAGCGACGGCTAGTTCTCACCCCATCGCCGAGTGTGACCGCTATGCTCAAAGGCGCATTTCAAGTTTCCCATCTTTGATCGTACTGAATCTATCGATCTGTCCAAAATTTGTTTTCATTATATAATGAGCATACTGTGCATGATGTTTTGAAGGTTTTTCATTTAACATAAAAACCTTTCCAATGACTTGTAATACTTGCCCGTCATCTTTCAGGTCGAAATTTCCTCAAATGACTTTATTGAGAACTAAAAATAGCCTTTGATATATCCAATATTTTGCATATGCTAATGATTACTAGATCTCATGACCTCACCAATGCAGAGCATAAATACTCGTACGTTTCACTACTGCCCACGGAAATGTAAAAGCGGGCTGTATATGCATGAAGGCAATGATAGTCAGTACAGCATGCGAAAAGCTTTTGTCATCAATTTTCGAGACGTTTTCATAATCTTCACAGCCCCAATACTACGAATGAGACAGTAACCATTTAGTTGTCTCAATAAAAGCACCACTGTGATGTGATTGTAGAGAGCGTTGCCGTGAAGATCGGGAAAAATAGGAATTTTACTCACTTTGGAATCAGAAAACGTAGCGAAGAGCATGAGCAGTAGTACTATGAAAAATGATCCTGATTTTGAATTGTTAATAACCGTATTTTTGCGTTTATTCGGGTAAAGAACTACAGCTTTAGAAGAATCCCATTTTTTATAAGTCTGTTATACATACTTTTGAAATAAACAGATACGTTTAATACAGGTATTAGCTATTTGGAGGGGTAGAGATGCATAATGTAAGAAAAGATAGGATGATTTCCTGCTAATGGTCGTCAAACACTTTTTAAGTAAGGAGATTTCACTGTAGCTGCGAACAGCTCTCTTAAGGCCTATGAAGTGAACGAATCGATCATTTCCCTATCCGAAATCATCGATTCGTCGGTCAAAATGTCAACCACTTCCGAAAAGGCCTCCATATTGAGGAATACCCCAACAATTCTTCAAATGAAGATCTGTTTGCGGCGATTCTGAAGGGGAACTGTTGTTACTGACGACCACGTCATCATGACAAGGAAAATAAGACGAAATTCATTTATTCTGTCATCAAAAAGTCGATTATCGGAAAAGTCGTGGGTCGATTTCGATCTGTAACGCCTTCGTCATCGACGTAGCGCGGTAGCAAATCTCTCCCATCTCTTCTCCAATTATCGAGTCATTTCTTTTGTGTAAAAACCCTTCTGCAAAAAAAACCAAAACATAAGGAAAGGAACGCAAATGCCTGCTCATTTGACTGAAAGTCTGTCGAATCGATCACGCATAAGGTCAAACGAGAGGTGATGTGTGAGGACTTGCGGCCCAAAATCAATTATCTGTTCATGATATGGGGTATTGGAACGCTATTACGCCCTACCTGAAATCTACCTACCTTCGCTATTCTTGTCAGGTATTCAGGAGCCCTTTATGAATCTCCTCAAGAGCAGGTTATTTTAGGAAACCCGTGTAGTTTCTTTGTATGATTCTCAACCCGTTTACGTGACATCAATAAAGTAATCTAAAACTGCAGTTATACTTAGCCAATGCGAAGAACTCGTCCCATGTCACCTGTCGGTTACGTCAACGAGTACAACGACTGGTTTTTCTATAAAGCCGAATGTGACCGTAGCCTAATCTAGAAGAATTTCAATTCTTCCCGATTTTAATTTCTTGTTCAATTTTAGTGTCCAATTGAACCCAAATGCGATCGGTAGAGGTATGCGGAAACAGCACTGCTGTCTTCTCTTTCTCACTGAAGTACTGTTTACAATATTGCACTGCATACTGTGTCGGTACGGGCAAAAAGCTTTAGTTCGGTTTCATTTACCCATCGTATTTTGGTCTCTGTTATTCCCTCCTCCATTTTCACCACATATGATGGTTTTTCATTTTCATCTTTCTCCTATTATTGTAACAGCGTTCTATGCGGAGTGTCAAACGACTAGAATTAAACGGCCTTCCTATACTCTATGTGGGGAGGTACTGCAGCAACTTTTTTTGCCAGTATTTAGATCGCATAAAAACTTGTGAGTATGAGCTTTCACAATTATTCAAGCGTTTTTCTTAGAGAAATGTGGGCGTTAGATGTATGTATTGGATGTGTGTTCGCTGAACAGTTAAGTAATTCATGGCCCCGTAATCAGTTGACTTGAGTGGATCAGTTGAGTGCATAAGAGGGGGCAATAGATATGCTGCGCTAGATGTTATTTATGCTTTCCTTTTCTAGGAACAACAAAGAGTCCGCAGTGAGACGATGGCTTACTGAAGAATTCGGCGAAGCTGAGCCTGCGACAACTAATTGCAATGCCTTTTCACGGTAGGCAACTGTCGCCTCACTGGGGATTCGTTTAGTTTCATAGGTACAGCGATCTTAACTAACCAACATCTGAGGGTTTTAAGTAGGGTTGCTCAAGTCAAAGAAACTGTGTCGTGTCACTATTTCTTTGTTCAATGTTGTTGACTTGTTTCTAATCAAATCTCGGATTTCAGAATGAATGCTGAATTGAAGAAAGAGTTTATTCGTCTTATTAGAGAGGAAGAAATGCTTTGGAATACGGAATGCAGGGATTACTATAGATTGGATAAGAAAAATCTGGCGTGGTCAAGGATACTGACCGGACTAGAAAGAAAAGGATTTCGAGGAGGATGTGAGTTCGCAGTTGTATAAACCAAACCTTGGTTCCATATTTTTTTAACGTCAAAAATGCTGAGAGCAAAAGGAAACTCTGGCTTCCTTAACTGCTTTTCTTTCCAAATAGAGTGCGTTTTTGCTATCTTTATCTGTTTCTTTTGTGACACTCTTTTCCGTTACGTTTAATTTGTCTTGATATCTATCCTTCGTGAATGCAAGCTTGCTGGTGCATAATGCGAGAAATAATTCCGCTCAAAATAAACCACTCGAATCATTTGGAATGTTGTTAGGTTTGGGTTACTCATTGATATTACGAGAACATTTCATTTTGTGAGGCCCTGGGCCCTTTTGTAATGCATCAACTAGCCCTGCATATACACAACGAACGATTATTATTCAAACTGGCCATTTATTGGTTTCATTATTATCTCTTTAATATTGTGTTTTTTTTTTCAGTGCTTGATCTCAAAGCAACTTGGAAAAGTTTGCGAGATACAAAAAGGAGGAATTCTCAGCTGCCAAGTTCTTCCGGAAAACCGTGGATTTTCGAGAAGGACATGGAGTTCCTGGATGCTGGAAGAAATGATTCGTTAGTATTACATGTTTATGTACTCTTAAATGCTCTAAACTCTCATTTCTTATTCATTACTTTTACAGAGTTCAATTTTCTTCACACGTCGAAAATGACTCGAAAGTTAATAGCCTAGTTGATAGCCCTCGAAGTTCTGCCACACCCGAAGAAATGGCTGACGAAAGTGCTGAGGCTGACGATGGGAATGATACTTTCTTCGTACCAGTCTCTGAAATGGGAGGCGACAAAAGCCCGGAAAACGGTTCAGAGCCATCACGAAAAAGGAGTTACGGCGGAGGATTCAATTCGAAGAAGAAAAAAATGGACTCACTCCAAGAAGGTAATGTCTCAGAAGGTTTCACATAGGTTTCAACTTGTTCATGTTGGTATTTCTCATCACTCGGAATTTTCATGTTGTTGGTGTCCATGTTTTATTTTCGCACTACACATGTACACCCGGTACAAACGGTGGGACTCTATTAATTTCATGGGAACATCGCAACATGTTTTCGAATTCTTCCTTTAAGGGGGTGAGAAGGAAAGCTAATACATACTTGTCTCTTGCGCCCTTTAGAACTAGGATAAGTATAAAGAGTGTACTGCTAGTGCAAACACTTGGTATATGAAACTCGTCCATGTAGCAATCACTCTTCCTGTTGCTTCTGTTAGCGCAGAGCCTCACTTAAGTGAATTGTGAGTAAATTAAATTGTAAATCGTGGACAATTTCTGTAGTAAATGCTATGCCTTGTGATTGCTTTGGATTCCATTTATTCCAGGTTTGGATATGATACGCGAAATCACGGCCTCTTTAAGGCAGAGGTTATCAGCGGCAACTATGGATAAATATGACCGATATGGTAATTCCCATTTCATCGTCGTTTTTGGGTCATTTTACTACTATTTTTGCATGTTTACAGGTGCCTTCATTGCTTCATCACTTCGAGAAATGCCCGAAGCTGCTTCACAACGAAAAATGGCGCAGTTGATGGATTGCTTGTTGAACCAAGGGAATCGAACGTAGTGCATGTTATTGTTTTATTATTGTTTTGTGGAAATATGGTAGCAAAGAAACGATAGCTACGTGTTGGCGCGGGTAAAGCATCAAACTTAAAAGGTTTGCTCGTTCATATTCCAGTGTTTTTATACATTTTACGCAGACATGGACTTTGTCACAATGAAATTGTGCAATAGCGAGTATCATTGTTGAGTTGGAATGTTAAAATTGTGAAACCATGAAAGTCAGTCGTTTTTCTGTTGTCAGGATGTCTAATAAATATGGCTGTTTTGCCTTAGTTTTTTTGTGAAATATATTTGGCGTAACTGAGATTGGTCCATGATCCGATGTGGGTTCTTTTTCAATTTTTTGGGCTAGTTGGCAAGATAATCGAAGGAGAGTATCGGATAATACGTGCTAAAATCTGGTTCTTTCCCTTTTTCCTATTCTTTCCAGGTGAAGCCGTTTTCACTTTTAGCTCTTCAGGAATGTTTTTTACTTTTCATCCTATATTTCTTGTTTTCACCTTAATTTATGCATGTATCTGTTATTCGATCAGAACAAAGAAGAGAAACGGAGTGATTTATGCTTAGTTCTTTAAATCCTCTATCCACTTTAGGATTTACCTCACTGATCTCCCACATCAGAAATACGTGACTTATTTATAGAAAGAAAAACAATAAAAATTATGTCACAATTCATCGCGATGTGTCATCGATAGTTTATCCTTTGTTACGAAGGCTTTAAACACAACTAGATACCCACTAAACCATGAGTAGAAGTCTTTTAGATTAATTTTTACAATTTGACGGTATTTTATGGCTTGTTTTAAGGAGGTAACAATAAGATCTGTCCTGTTCCAAGGACCCCCCCCCCTCAAAGGCCTACACATGGTGTGCTGAAAGGCGAATCAGTTTTGGTCATCAATAGTCTATCCGGAAGAACTTCAGTTCCTGATATTTCGACATATAACGTTGTAACTGCGAAAAATGGCTTAGAAAGTTCGTGATAAGGGTTCTAAATCCGCCAACTCCTCCCACTTCAACCAAGATGGGTGGACCCGATAACTCCACCCGTCTTGGTTGAAGTGGGAGGAGTTGGCGGATTTCGAGCCCTTATCAGTGCCGAAGTCAATGCCGAAGCTCTTTCCAAATGAATAAGCTGCATTTCTATGAGATTATTCGTGGAATAAATTCCCAAGACCTGTTCTATTTTAGATACCTTTTGTATTAGAAGTCCTCTGTGGATCGAGGTTTCGTTTTTCAGCATGTTTATCAGGACCGTGTTTCAAAAACTATAGTTAAAAAAAAACTAGTTATAATCGGCAGCCCTGTTGCCGAATTTCCTGTTGCCATCAAATTCGTCTGATGTCTACGACTCACATGGAATGGGCTTTCAATCTCTTCAACATCATCTTCTGAATACCATCCCTTTCGGGGCCCTTGCTGTCTTGGTCGGAAAAGTCTTTTAAATTACGGAGCTTTCCGATAGATCGCTCTGTTGATCCTCTTCCTCCCGGAACGAGGCGGGCAAGCAAACATGTATCTGTCGGCGAAGTCCGTTTTTCTTTGTAGGATTTATCCACCACGGCTGTGAAACAACCGGCTCAAGAGCTTTCCGAAAAAGTGTGACTTCCGGTGCAATTCACAGTGATTGCTGGGATTGTAATCCACAGCTCCGAAAATTTACTTCAAAACCGAAACTTAGTAGAGGAAAAACTTATCAAAGATCCAGTCCCAAAAACTTATCAAAGACGATGATAGATGTCTTGATTACGTAGCAAATCATATCTAAGGTATCTGATAGAGGGCAGATGCATGGCGCATTCCAGAAAAGTCGCTGAACTTTTAGATCGCCACCATTACATTCTTTTCATAGTTCTCACTAAAAGTGAGTCTGATCAGTTCAGCTCGTAACTGTTTCTTGTTCGTTCACCTTGAGATTGCAATTCAGAAAGACAGAGCGAGCCGTCGGGCGTAGAAAAACTCCAAATTGATTTCCACTCTACCTTCTGATTTAGCGGCCTTCGATATCTCAAAAACTGTATCCTTCATGGTCATTGCTTAAAACAATTCATTACTTCAGTTTTACTTATCATCCTAGCTTTTTTTCCATTCCGATATGGAAGATATACCTTTAAGCAATAAGCAATTGTAGTTAGTCGATTTCTTCAACACCCACAACATTCGAATGCCAAGGTACGGCTATAAACCCGAAGGCTGCAGCAATCTCAACACGAGCATTATAACTGCACTCCACTTCCTGCCCTTTTCGCTCCGCTTCACTTCTATCGGCCATCGGCCTTATTACGCCCGTGTTGTGTGAATACTTCAAGTGCAAGTAATATTTTTTCTCGTAAGTACTCACCAACGTTGATAGTTGTTTTAAGGGCGTGGCTGAGCGGTTTCCTTCTGTTGTCGTTGTTTTCATGTGCTCTACTCGAAGGAAATGTCTACTTCCCACTTTTCATCGTCGAGTTTTGTCAAAAAAAAAAGATGTGGAGCTCTCACAGCTTCCAACATGAAACCCTTGATCGATAGTTTACGACCAGACCAGTTTAATGAGAACAGTAATGTACTAGTACTTATAGTTATCGTGAAACCGTCCCAGTGTTCTTATTTTTTCTGCTAGCTATCGTCTTCATTGCCGTAGTTTGCAGCATTTTTGTCAAAAAATACAGAAGTATTGACGTAATCATCACCTAGATTTGTACGTTTATACTGGACGCACCCATGATGCGACGCCGGCTTTGGCACCGGGCGTCATCCGACAGGTCGGAAAATAGAACGCTTTTGTGAGAGATACCTAGACAATCACAGACGGTAACGCGTTCACACAGAATCCACGATCATACGTCCTCTTTTTTTCTCAGAGAAACAATTTTATTTGTCTTATTTTACCTTATTTGACAACCCCTCCACTTTTTTTCAACCGTTCCTTATAAGCCCACATGCTGCGGCATAAACCATCAACCTGCAAGCTCTCGATTGACGCCCAGCGCCGACGCTGATACTATGGATGCACCTGCACGTTGCGGGACGATTTTTAGCGACTGATCTCCTACGTGGGTTACCATTCGCAATTCGTAATGTGACGTAATGCAGGTATTGACGAACAAAAACCGGTCGGAACCTGCGGGGTCCAGTTACTACATGTTTTAATGTTTACAATGTAGGAGGGTCAACGTGTTATACATGTCAATACAGGATGATAGGCTCTAAGAGCAAAGGCCGCATCGAGCTGCCCCTACTAGGACGCGCCACGCATTCGCTTCCACTTGTAATCATAGTCACCGTGTTTACGTAGGCATTCAGCTAGTTGTAAATAGTTGCAGACTTCGGGTAATGTGCATGATAGCTTTTTTAATCTCGAAAAGTATCGTCTCAATAGCTCCGAAGAGATGGAAGGGCCAACAGGCCTAGGGAGATGGGGTCCTCGACCCCTGCGTGTAGCAGCTGTACACAACTGCTATAGACACAGTTACGGTATTTTTTGCCAGAATCATCAAGAATAACCGTCCTCAATCAAGTGAAATTCTTCTAAATTGATGGAAAACTGTTTTTCGGTAATTTTTAGGCCCAACAGTGAAGAAACGTCGTCTGGTCCCAATGCACAATCATCCCGCCACAACCACAATTACAGATAGAAGGCAAGGGCGTGGCGCATGAAAAGCAGCAGCAAAGAATCCTAATTTCACCTTTCTCTTCTAATATTTAATTCAAATTTAATTTTTTTTTTCAAATTTTTTTCAAATTCAAACATGAAAGTGCATTCAATGCGCTAGACATTAATGTGAAAAAAAATCGAAGTCTTCTACCCTCGTGTAGGCTACAGCGCACCCTGGGACTTTGCAATATTGATGGGGACATTTTTTATGGTCGTGGAGTATTAAGGGCATGTTATTTCTTCGCTTTCAAGCTATCCAGCTACTTCGACGAAAAAAATGTCAGTCAAATTGACTTTCGTCCATGAACTTCAAGAAGGTTTCCAATACATATGATGTCTGGTCGTCAAATTCCCTCGGAACTATTTAGGTCACCACCTTATTTGTTCGTTGTTTGTATACCACCTAATACCGAACAAACAAATCAGTATACCATTTGTAATCCTAAGATGCCTACTCGCATTTTGTAATCCTAGGACTCTGATTCGCATTTGGAAAATGGAATACCGATAAATTATTCATTCAAAAAGCCGTCTCAAGATCTAGCCATTCACCTCTTATTGCCAGTTTCCCAATCTTTCGTTTTTCTGAGTGAAAAGCGAGTTTCACAAGTGCTTTTACGGTTTTTCTTCTTTTACTCTTGTACTCAGGCTGGTTTACGTTCTGGGGCAGTCATCTTTTCCTGCATTTAAGATAGATATCGATTAGAAGCGCGTAAAGCCGGAGTTCATTTTACATTTCGTGCAATCAGAAATAAGAAAGTAGACAACGCGAAAAGCCTATTAGAGATTCTGGTTTTATTGTAGCCCACTTTTGCCTTGAATTATTCTTAGTCGCAAGTGCATCAGATTTTTAGTGGAAGTTTGGCAGCAATAGTGGATTACGGTAGGAATTTGGATCCCTACAGATTTTCATTCCTATTCATCATCAAACTGGATCGTAGCCTACTCTAAGGAACGAGGCATGTATTGAAGAACTGGGGGAAACGAGTGAAAGACCTGACAGTATTGACTATTTCCTTTTTTCTTCCAATCCACTCCTCTGAAGTGTCGCGATGCGGAACGGCGCATGGGTTTCTTTGACTCGATAGCACTCCGACACTCGTAATCTTTACGATCTTTGTTAAGAACCCTTCGCAATCTGTGAACACACTCTCACAGTCTAAGTAAGTCTGATTGTAGTAGCGCACAGTACAGATATCCGGTTTCCGATGTATATGCAGCAAGAGGATCCCAGCAGCGAACACAATAAGATGTCCTTCCAGGGGTGTCTGTGTCGCGTATTTCACAAAGGAATGAGCCTGAATCAGGAGTAATAAAGTCAAATCAGGCGCTGAATTGGTTAACTCCACGGGGTTTTTTTT